CCCCCTGCGCTTGCAGACATGTGGCCCAGGAATCCCCTTTGGATTCTGGGTTACATGTCACATTGGCATCTTCTGGCCCAGAGCACATATGTCTAGGAGATGCCCAGGGTGCACTTTCAAGCTGCTACATCCTGGTTTTGGGGGCAGCATCTGGAGCTGTTGTCTGACGGGATAGGGCCCTTGAAGCCCCAGGAGTGGCAGGGGCTTGACTGTGGGGTAACGTTGAAGTCTGTTGAAACAATTGGGACTGAAACCTGCCTGATCCGACTGATCAGCAAAAACAATGTTAGACTGAACTGGTATTTGCACCGGTGAAAGCAAATCTAACCCTAATGGTAGCAAGTACAAGTCATTTAAAGTCCTTTATAACCAGGAGGTGAAGGAGTCCTATGCTGTTTTTAACATGGGTCAGGTATCCAGGTTGTAGCCATATTGGTCTAGAGGAAAAAGGAATCAGAACTCATGGTAGAGGTGATATCTTTTATTTGACCAACTAGATTTTTGCCAAAAACAGTCTTTAATTGCAAGCTTTCGGGCACAAGCACCCTTCTTCAGGCATAAGAAAAAAAATTGTAAAAGTTATCCTAGGTAGAGTGAAATTCTTTTGTTGCAAGGAACTGGGAAAGACCATACCAAGGCAGAATGTTTACAACACTATGAATTCTTATTTGAAATCTCTGGGTTTATCTTGTGAATCATGTTTGCATACCTAAGAGCCCATGGCACACTTGAAAGTATCTCAAGGTACCCTCACTGAGAATCACTACCCTAGGCACTCAGCTATTGGGACTAAAACAGGAGAGTCCTTCTTGTTCTTTCCCTAGTCTTACACTCAGATGCATATGTGCCTAGCCATGCATATACCTGGCCAGTGCATCCCTTATTGCGTATGCTCAGCACATGCATATTTATGTGTCCATACTACAGGGTTAGTAGAATTCCAACTTTTGCTTAAGTGACTAAAACACCATATGTGTGGCTAAAAAGCTGCCATTTAGATGAACAAAGGGAACTTGATTTGCACCTGTAGTTCTCCCCTGCTTTCAGTGAATGCATCTGCTAGGCCTGTGTGAAGCAGCTAGTATTCGCTTCGGATTCAGATTTGGCTGATTTGGGGCATTGGCGACACATAGGGAGTGCATGCAGGTACACGTGCATGTGCACCCCCTGAGATTGGCTATGCACCCCCTGGAAGCACCAGCTGCAAAACCAGAAGTGCCACTGGAAGTGCACTTCTGGTTTCACTGGTTTTGCTGCTGGCTTGGCAATCGGCTGCTGGGGGACCCCCCCCATACACCTTAGGTGATCTGGTGCCCCCCCAGACTTGGGAGGCACCAGTTGCCCATGATTCAGGGGACAGTGATTCGATTTGGTGATTGGAATCACTGTCCTGAATTGATTCGGCTGAATCTGATTCAGAGACTTGGCCACTGCTGAATTGGCCGAATCTCCAAATCAAACAGGTCCTATCTCCTGCCCACTCTCCCAGCCCCGTTGATAGCTGCCCCACCTGGCAGCATCCCAGCTCTTAAAAAAAAAAAAAAAGAGCCCTGTACTCACCATCTGCTTCGAGGCTGGGGGTGGGGGGTGGGGGTTATCCCTGCTGCCCCCCCTTGTCCTACGCTGTGTGGGAGGCTCTGCCATGAGCCCCCATCCCCCACCCGCTCTCCCAGCCCCAGTGTCATAGCTCTTTAAAAAAAAAGGTCCCCTCCCCACTTCTCCAGCCCCCCCACTTACTGGCATGGAGTTCGGGTCCAGCTCCCTGCAGTGGCGAGTGGGGACTGCTCAAATCTCCGAAGCTTTCTGAATCTTTTCCGAATCTATTCAGAGATCTTCGGATTGATTCAGACCTTTTTATTGGTCTCCTGATTTGATTTGGAGATTCGGCTGCCAAATCAGGCCGAATCTCCTCTGAATCGAATCAGCACCCGAAGCTTTGCACAGGCCTAGAATCTACACGGCACATGGACCCCGCTGCCCCTGCAGTGGTGAATCCTGGTTTGTCCTGTAGGCATCCACAGCTCTCTCCATTCATTTCCATGAGCAGCATTCTGGAGATTCAGCCTCTGGAGATGGCCCTCAGTTACACAGGAGGTGTGTAGGATCCCCACTTATACCCCCAGTGAGGAACTTCAACTTGTGCTATGACAGCCAGCTGCTCAGAATCCTACCTCCCTTGGACAAGCATGTCTTAGTAGGGTCTTTTTTTCCTGGCAGCTAGAGGTCTATCCAAGCAGAATGAGGATCCTCCTGCACCATAAATTTCCCAGTGGTTAGACCATGTACTTAGGAAATGGGAGATGTGGGGGTCTTGGACCCTGCCTTGGCATCAGAGGATTTGAATCCAACACCCCTCCCATCGCAGCTCTATGCCTTAAATCCCAAATACAGGGCATATATGGTTCTGAGACTTCTCATGCAGCTGACCTGCTAGGTAGCCAAGAGGGAACAAGTTATGGAACCAGGAGGAGAGCAAGGGAGATGAAGCTAAACACTGTAGTCTGAGCAGATGAGTGCTGTCCTGGCAGGGAGGGAAATGGACCCAAATATCCTCCTTTGCTGGTAGTTTTCCAAGTCTGCTGTAGTGTCTCAGTATCTGGAACTCTTTGCAGAGCAGGTACCTGTCTTCAAAGCAGGTGTTTATCCCAGGGATGTGTATTTCCTGCAAATGAAGCTTGTTTTTACTGTTTTCTGCAACCAAAGCACCTATTTCTAAGTTAGAATTATTCAAAGTTAGTAAGCCTAGTTTGCCCAGTCTCCAGACGGGGTGCATTTAATGTACTGTATATAGCCACAGGACTCTCTCTATTTTTTTTTCAGCCAGTTCTTGGGAAGGTTCCCCCCACAACGCTTTTTCCCCAGTTTAGATCAGGGGTCAGCAACCAATGCCTGCAGGCTGAATCCACTGGCCTGCAGTGGTGAGGGGGTAGAGGGGTGGAAGAAGTGGGGATTGGTGGCACAAGAGCCACAGTCCCCGAGTTCTCCCTGCTGTGTCAGGCCCCTCTACTGCTGAATTTCTTGCTCACCATAGGAATCAGCCACAGTCAGTGGTGAGGGTGAACAGAGGCTGCAGGCGGGGAGTGAGGTGCTGCGGAGGGGACTGTCTGTTTGAGGTGGAGGATGAGTCACCAAATGGCAGTGCATCTTAAGTGAAAGGTTGCCTACTCCTGGCCTAGAGTGCTAATCATCATTAACAGCATTATCCAAATTTCACAAAGCACAAAGTGTAACTGATGTTGGTGCACTGAGGTACAGTACAGCACATCCTCTTTTGAGTTTTTAAAAACCTGCTGACATTTAAGGAATGGGCATTTTTTATTTATCAGCAGAAACTATTAATATGCTGATAGTTCAGCATTATTCAGATCCTCTGAGCTCCTTGATAGGGCTGTGTGAAGCTTTGGTGCCTGATTTGATTTGGCAGAGATTCGGTCTAATTCGATAACTGAATCTCTGAATCCAAATTGAATCAGAGGACCCTTTAATTTCTCCAAATCGATTTGGAAAGATTCGGCGATTTGGACATAGACACGGCTTTAAATGTTTTTTCTACATACCTCTAGGTACCAGGCAGCTTGTGAACGCTGTGATGGTGGGGGACAGGAGCATGGGGAGCTCCCCAGAGCACTCAGCAGCAAACTCAGAAGTGGACCAGAAGCAGTTCTGGTCCATGTCTGGGTCCGCTGGAGAATGCGCTGGGCCTCCCTGCTGGCTCAGCCACTGGTGTCTCCTGGGTATGGGGAAGCACCTGTGGTTCCCCTGCAGCTGATCGCCGGGCCAGGGGGACACAGTGCGCTCCCTGGCAGACCTGGAAATACTTCTGGTCCACTTCTGGGTTAGCCACTGAGCACATGGAGGGCCCCCCTGCACTACTGTACGATGCTCCATCCGCCCCAGCATCACAGTGCTCACAAGTTGTGCTGCTACCTCAAGGTATGTAGAAAAAACTTTTAAAACTGTGTCTATGTCTGAATCACTGATTCTCTGAATCAGCACTGAATCTTCAGCTGAATTGAATTTGGATTCAGCTGAATTGAATCAGGGACAGTGATCTGAATCAACTAATCGAATCCCTGTCCCTGATTCAGATGGAATCCAAATCAAATAGGGCCCGCTTCACACACCCCTACTCCTTGACTCTATCAGACTTCTTTTCAGGACACTTAGAGATTGAAGAGGATGCCATTTAGTGGGGTCACATAATAGGGACCTCCCCTGTGACACTGCCCCAGATAGGACTGTCAGGCTGTGGTGGAGTTTGAAGACAATGGAACACGATAATGACCGTGTTGAGTCAAAAGATGAAAACGTGTTCCAATTAGAATCTTAAGAAGTAGGTTTGTAAGTGTCCTGGAGGAATAGTTATGACCACAGGGTGTGCCGTTTGGAAAGCCATGTGCTCCCTTCCTCCAGAAAACAGGTTAAGAAATAGTTTGTCTAATGCTGCACCCACAGCAGAATGCCTCCTTCGCAGAATATTCTTTGGATTTGAGTGCCTTTTACAGGTCACAGGGACCTGCATGGATAATAGTGTAATAATTCAGAAGGTAGAATCCACATGATAATCGTTGTAGACCCCCACGGTCTGTTGCAGAGGGTCAGGAGTTGGGCAGGAGGCACTTTGTCACAATTAGGTCCATGACTGTGCATTATGAGATGTGATCTAGTAGAAGGATCAGCAAGCAATGGTCCCTTACTCTCACCTGGCATCTCACTGCTTCCAGTGGGACTCCACGTGGCAGCAGGAGACTGCATTTATGGATAGGGATCATATGTTTACATCTAAAGTCAATGGGGCTCCAAAAGGGGGGGTGGGGGGTTAAAGCAACGTTGTGTCGGTGGGTTTCTTTGTAGGATCCCCTGATCTTATATGTTTTTGTCTTTCATCTCTGTCTCCTCACTGTTTTGGCAAACTATTTCACCATTGTAAGACTGTTTCAAACAGAAGTATGGAATTCAGATCCGGGTGGGGTCTGGGCAGTAGAAGTCACAGACTTAAGTTGATTTTCAAATGTTTTATTAATTAGCTTTGCCAAACAGATAATGGACTCCGGCGCTGCTTTGCTGGAACGTTCTGATGCAAGTGCCAGCCTTATCTGACAGAGAATGCCTCAGCCACAGCAGGTACCGCCGGGTTATGGCAACAGTTCAAAATAACATTTTAATTTTGTATGCAACAATGTAAACTTCAAAAATAGTAAACTCTTAACGGTTTTTCTCATTTTGTACATAGCGCGTGATCTATCACAGATAGAAATTTAATGGCGAACCAAAATCGCGTAAGTAAACATCCTGGTGCTTACAAGTGTCATAAAAAGCGTTACATTTTATGTAACAATCTGACATTTCTTTTCGTTTATACTCACAGTTATGGAGTAAAAGCAACTGGCAACTTGCCTTTTCAGCCTTCATTATTCTCATACTGTACATCACAAACCATGTTGCTCTAGCTTCATTTTTCATTTTAAGTAGGGTCTCTCCAGACCCAATTTGGCTTTCCTCTTTCTCAAACTGGTGTAAATTAAGAATAACTCCACACGGGGGTAAAACTTGTGCCAGTGAGAAGAGAATCTGTTCCGCAGGGCACAGATTTGCAGTCCCCGAGCTCTCTAACTTCCCACTGAAATTGATGGCTCATAGGGACTCTCGTTGACTTCAGTGGGAGTTTTGGGAGTGCTAGGGCTCCAGGACTGGGCGCCATCATTGTAAGACTATACAAGTAACTTGTGGCATGACCTGGTACTACACAAATAAAGACTAGAGTTCTGTAAAAGGCACTATATTTCTCTTGCATGATCTTCAGTGTGGATTGTAGTCATGTGCAGTATAAGGAGATTTGGGCTCTAGGCTGCTTCTCCTCTAATACTTTAGTGCAAGCCTTTTAGCACTTCTACCTTGTTTTTGTTCCAGCACAGCTCCACAGAATGACTTAAGAACATAAGTGCCATACTGGGCTAGACCAAGGGTCCATCTATCCCAGTATCGTGTCTCTGACAGCGGCAGGAGTGGATGCTTTTCAGGGAGAGCATATGAACAGGGTATATCTAGAGTGATGTACCCCCTGTCATACACTCCCTGATATCCACCATATATCCCTCCCTCTGCACTCTCTTTCACACACCCCCACCCCCCAGAAGATTTTCTTTTGGTTCTTTGAAAACTTTTAGAGTACAGCTCTGGTTAATAAAAATAAATGTGGGATGTAGCATAGCATTTATCGTAAATCACAGTGTGCAATGCATCATTCAGTATCTAATGTTCAAAACATCTTCCCTGCTTCTCATGAAAATTGATCTTTAAAATAACATACGCAAAGATAATCTGCCTATACTTTACATTCATTTAAAAAGAGCTGAGAGGTTTTTGTTTTGCTTTCTTTTTTTTTAAGTGGTACATTTAAGTGAAAGGTCTGATGTGAAAAAAGTGCAAGCAACTTGGACATGCCAAAACTTGATGTCTCTGACTGTATCATATCAAAACTGTACAGGTATGTACACCATATTGGACATATGTGCTTCTTTGCAAGAAAATATCTTTGAAACATAACATACAATGTTAATTATAGAGATTCAGTAAAAATAACATTAATGGGTGAAGGATGACATGGAGGGGCGGGTTCTTCTGCTTTTGTTTGGCAGTCCTGAAATGATGTCTCCATTCCCCTCGGGGATTTCTTCCTTCTTCCGCACTTTGAGGTGAGTGAGGATTTTCATTAGCCAGACATCCCATTCCTCTGGTAAAAGCAGCAGGAGGAAGCCCAGGCCAATGATGATGATGGCAATTACACGGACACTGTTGAAGACAATTTCACTCGTGTAGTGATCAACAACTGTATGGAACATTGAACTGATATTATTAAACAGGACAAAGTGTTAGGACAGTATCACACACATCCACACACACACTCACTCACTGCAGCATGTAGTACATTGATCTTAGCAAAGGCTGGATGCTAAAGCAGAGGAGTCTTGCTCACTCTGCAAGATTGGGTTATTTCACATGAAATGTTTGAGAACAACCCCTCTGGAGGCAGACTGGTAGGGTACAGTGCTCTCCTTGTTAGTATAACTTGGGCATTCAGAAACTGAGAGTACCCTAAGCCTGGAAACGCCAGAATTTGCATAAAGGCCCTGGAAAGGGATACCATCCATGCAGTGTGAATGTGACATAGCTGGTGTTTGGCAAACATCCAGTGACGCTCTTAAATTCCCTGGCTCAGATATACGTATTAGCATGTGCACAGGGCTGCTCTCATGCTAGTTAGGTTACATATTTTGGACAGTGGTCCTCAGAGTGGACAGGTCATAGACTAAGCATGCTCCAGAAGCAGTGTGGACAGAGCAAAAAAAAGCCCAAGGCAGAAAAGCAATTCTGTGATATCTGAACAGGAGGGGATGGGTTTTAATTTCTGGCTGTTCCTGCTCTCATGGGTGTTGAGGTTATGTTGTGATTTTGCATCAGTTTTTGTGGGAAAAGGACAAAGGCGAGTATATCTGTAGGGTTGGAGGGACCCAAGGAAGTCCTCTAATACAGCTGCTTGCTCAAGGCAGGATCAATCATGTCCATACCATCCCAGACAACTGTTTATTCCTATCCAGAATAAAAATGATCTGTCTCCATGAACAAGATCTACCTGGTGAATGCTCCCTACAAAGGTTGAGAACAACATTAAGCATAAATTATATTTTACTTGTTAAGGCAAGTAAGGGCTGGACTATTCATATTAAATATCTCCCAGGATGATGTCTGACAGTTTTATTGTAAGTAATTTAATTAATTCAAGCAGGTTTAACATTAGATGCACTCCTTTGATCTGGTGAAGAAAACATTCAGAATCATTAAGCAGCGTATTTGGGTGATCAGTTTTCATCTAATGTCAAGGATGAGTGACTTCAAATCAAGTTGATTTTTCAGTAATCGAGCTTCTGTAGAGGTCACTGCTGGAAATTCATATTTACTATATAATAATATAATACTTGCTACAGAAAAATATACAAAGGATACATATTCAAATAAAAAAAGAAGTTAAATGCCTACCTGCATTTACAGGTACACTCAGTACTATTCCAAGAGATATCAAGGTGGGATATGTAATAGCAATTCCAAAATTTAATATAATATTGAATGCTGGAATTAGAAAGAAAACCATCTTTAATTCTGAGATTCACAATTCTTGTGAAACAAAATCACTTTACAGTAGAAGATGTTTCCTTTGAACTATTTAGTGGTTTGTTTTCTCCCTCATGCAGTCTCTGCAGACACTGCAGGTAACTCCCATTAGGACTGCTGCACATTACCTACACAAAAAGGTCCCATTACTGCAATATGATCTGTCTGGGCTGTGCCCACTGTGCCAGTGGGCTTCTTTCAGTGGGACTATTTTCACAGGGATACTATCATAGGATAAGGGCCAGAAAGATCAGGATGATATGAAGGGGCACTGGTAGATCCCCTTAGCAGTCCCCCCTCACCCTACCCACACGTCCATTCTGTGCTTCTATTCCAAAATTTAATTTCTCAGTAAAAGACATACTCAGCAAAACAAACTTTTGTTTCCAGACATTTTTGTATAACAACTGCTTGTGGATGATGGTTCCCTGTGCTGTAAATCTGAACTGTGATGATGTTCAAACTGTCAGGCATTTGATAAACAACATTTCATTTTAATACTACACAGAATAAATACAACTCATGACAAATAAATGGGTCTTGTGGGACAAATTCATCTATGGTCTAACTTCTGTGATGTCAGTAGATCTACGCCGGGGTTGCATCTGGCTAACTGTGTTCTAATTCTGTTCTGCTGATAATAACTATTTACATCGTTTCTTTCACCCCACAGCATGCCAAACGCTTTGCAAACTGTGGGCCAAACTGCACTCTTTCCTCAGACACCGCTCCTATTCACCACTTGTAACTAAAATGCAGCCACTTCTGGAATGGAACATGACAGCTTATTAAAAAGCATGTAGTTCTACACTATTATCTAGGATGATAAAAGGGAAATATTTCTCCAGCTGAAACTGAAAGTGACATTCTAGGTGGCAAGGTGCAGTTAACCACATTAGCAGTTGGCTGTGGCACCAAATTAACTTTGATAATCTTGCAAAGAGTACATTTAATGATTGCAGATAGTCAAGGTCAGCTTTTTACCTCCTGTTCTTTCAGTAGCAAAGTACAGTATTAACTAAAGTGAAGAGTGCCACCTACTGAACACCAGCAGTATTGCAATACACTGGTGTTTTTCTGGCATTTCCTGTTCAGTTAGGGAACAGACACTGTTAATGTCAATGGGAAGAGTCAGCCTGACTTAATTGCTGCTTGGGTGATGCCCTGCCTGAACAGCCTAAGCCTGGTAAGTTAGGCAGGCCTCACAAGCCTGCCGTGCTATCCTCTTCCAACATGAGCATATTCCACTAGAACACAGGCTTTTTTCACTTGAACTCATGCAATGGAGTTTGAGAATGTGAATTACACTAAACTTTGTGGCTTCACTCCAGTAATACTTTCTCCTGATTGTGCTGCTTATTAATGTGATCTCTACGGCCATTACTGGGAATCTGTGTGACAGCACCAATCACAGGGGTAGGCTCTATGTTTGTGCACGTGAATCATCAAATCGTAGAATCATGAGTCAGAATGGACCTAGACAGATCATCTAGTCCGACCCCCTGCCATGGGCAGGAGGGAGCACTGGGGGTGGCAGGGGTCATAAGACCCCAGCCAGGTGCCTATCCAGTCTCCTCTTGAAGATTTCCAGGGAAGGTGAGAGCACCACCTCTCTGGGAAGCCTATTCCAGGCTCTGGCCACCCTTACAGTGAAGTAGTTCTTCCTAATATCTAACCTAAACCTATCCTCCCTCAGCTTGTGGCCATTGTTCCTGGTGACTCCAAGGGGGGCCCTCATGAACAGACTTTCCCTGAGTCCCTGCTGGTGGCCCCTGATATAGTTGTAGGCAGCCACAAGATCCCCCCTCAGTCTCCTCTTGCGGAGACTGAAGAGATTCAGGTCCCTCAGCCTCTTCTCATAGGGCTGGCCACGGAGGCCCTCAACCATATGAGTGGCCCTCCTCTGGACCCTCTCCAGGTTCTCCACGTCCCTCTTGAAGTGCGGTGCCCAGAACTGGACACAGTACTCCAGCTGCAATGAAAGAGGTCCCTGGATGACTTCTTAAGCTAAGCTTTTTTATTGTACAGAAGTAACAGCATTTCAGAAAAATTAGACTTCCAGTGGCAGCCTAGCACTCTCCAGTATCACTGAGGGGTATGCACTGATGACATTTACTTACTCAATAAGAGAATTGAAAATCCACAAAGGTTTCCCCAAGGAATGACATCAAAACCACTCCAGTATTCCACTTTGGTAAAGTAAAGAATGACAGGAATACAAGTGACGAAAAGGACATTGAAGATACCCAGTACAGACAAGAATAAGGCGGCTTCTCCAAATTTAGCGCTTCCCAGGAGAAGTTTGAACAGAACCTGCAAAAGAAATATAAATGGATTTTGCTTTATCTCACTTCAAAACACACCTGGTGAGATGACCCTGTTTTGTTCCAGCTTTGCACTAATGGAAAGAGAGTGTCTGTTGTTAATACAGTATAAACTATGTATATGGTGGAGGCTTAACACATTTTGGCTAGGGACAGAAGTGACACGCAAACTGATTTAAGTCACAGAAACTGGTTTAAACTTGTAACAGAACAGGAGTTCAAGTTCACATAAACCAGTTTCAAAATGGCTGAAACTGGTTTAAGATAAACCTGGTTCAACGTAGTATCAGATTTAACTGATTTGTGTCAAACCAATTTATGGAACTTCTATCCAAGACCCCTTCCTGGTTCACAGTCCCCCAGCCTCCCAGCATTTTGCAGCCCTGAGCTGGGCTGTACTGTCTGCTCCAGAGAACAGAGCTGGCCTTACCCCTCTGCTCCCTAGCTGGAGCAGTGAGGGCTGGCTCACTGGCCGGCTCACTAGGAAACCCCTGCTGGGGTCTGGGGCCAGGAAGTTGGGTTAAACTCACCTTCTCCCGAGTATAGAGCTACCCTGCCCTGCTGGCTTACTTAGTGCTGGCTGTGACTGTGGACTACAAATCCCAGAGGCAACTGGAAGCAGGAAGAGGAAGTGATGAACAACCCTGCAGAGTCCTGTTACTGTGAGTGGAGACAACCTGAGCAGGGTGTGGGGCCTGGGATGCAAGGAAGCTGGTGGCGAACTGGCGGTGGTGGTGGGGGTGGTGTGCCAAGCGGCCGGATGTGCTGGATTCTCCAGGTGAGCGAGTGGCTGGACATGAAGCTAGTGGCAGCATGGAGTCACCATTGCCACTCCATCCGGCTCTGCAGGGCCCCCCAAAGCGCGGGACCCGATTCATACCCACCCCCTCCCTTCCCCCCGACCCAGGGATGGCTCTGGCTGTGAGTCTGGACTGCAAATCCCAGAGACCTTGGGGGCAGCAGGAACAGGAAGTGGACACAAAGCCCATACTGGCTACGTGCCAGAGAGCTGTACTCTAGTGCCCCACGGCTTCTGGCTTGAGCCACTACAGACATGTGGCTGCATTTCCTGAATCAAAAATGAATGCCTGTTCATTTGCTTATTGGTTCATTCTTTGCAGCTTAGACTAACCTGCAAAGGCTGGATCAATTCAGCCTCAGGCTTTTTGACTCTCTGTACTTAGCCTTTATCTTGTTAACAGGAAGAAAGAAGTTTCTAGAAGGGATGGTGGCTTCTCCAATGGAGGCTCTTCATTCCATTTTTCTTTGCGCTCTTTATAAAATGTGGATGTGAACACACACATCTGCATGCACATACATACTCATATATATATGTATATAAATTAAAAGAATTGGGGTGGGAGGGAGGGGGAAGAAATGTGTGTGACCTCCCCTGGGAAGTTTGTTCGTTGCTTCTCCAGGCTCTGAGCTTGCATGAGAGGTTTGGGTTTCTTATAAGACTAACCAAAACTCTTCATTCCCCAGCTTTTCCCTAAAATGAACTCACAGTCTTAATTCTAATTTAGCAGCATTTGCTGTTTAGGAATTATGTATGTATAAAATGCCTTGTACCCCTTTGGGAGCTCTCTAAATGTGACGAAATAAATAGAGCAGTAGTCTTGATCTGGAGAAAGAGGTGGTGATATTTTATATTTGGATTATTATTACATCCCAGGGGTGCTATTATTTTTATACTTCCCTCCCCATCTAGCCTGCTAGTTTGCCTGCATAGTTGCATGCCTCCACCCTGACTTGGCATCAGAATCATGAAGGATGGGAGGGAAGTTCAGCTGCAACACCCCTTCCACCCTAATCTTCTGTGCTTTCAGTTGCCTGCAGTGAAAATACTTATTACCCTGAATTGTGAGGGTGGTTTTTGTGCTGTGGATTTTCTCCTCTGCTAGGAACTCAGTGGAGAAAGACCCCCACAGCACAGTAACCACCTTTCCTCATCTAAGTTGTATGCAAACTAGTATTAAATCCTATTGCCGCTGAAAGGCTTGATATCCTAATGATCAGTCTCCTAAACTACTTAGTCCCCCTTTCCCTCAGAATTCCTACACTATGTTTTAAAGGAGACCAAGAGAGTTAGATATTTGGTTTTTGCTCTTCTGGCATGATTTTGGTTAGTGAGGAAAAAGATAGATGAGGCAAACATTATACTTTTTTAAAACCCACTGATGCCGTTAGAGCTGAACCAAAGCCTGTTCTGTTTTACCTAAAGAAATCCAGAGTGACTGTGTCAACTTCAGTAGTCTTTCTGGACCTATATGGTGTATCAGAAACAACTTTGGTCCAGGATTCCCTTTCCTGAATGCTGGTAGCTAGAACTCAATAAAGGGATGCATTTTTACAGCATGAGTCTCAGTGGGATGAGTGAAACTTCAAAATCTAATTTTGAATTAACCTGGCACAAGCATGGGGTATTTGGAGCAGAAAACAGCTTATCTTTAAGATGATGAAAGTGCTTTTCAGTGCATGCCAGTACTATTTTAGTGGACTTCCCTTAATGGACAGCAAGGAAACTTCCTGTTGTCCCTAGAGAAATGAAGAGACGTGTCCTGAGGGATTCCAGGGTCTGTCATTCCTTTCTGCTTCACAGGGGGACTTTGCCCACCTTATTGTAGAAACGAGGACACAGGAGAAACAGAAGAGGCCCAGAGGCAAGTGATAGGAAGATGTTCTCTTGGCTTGGGACCAGGGGTGTTTCCCAGGGTAGAGCACATTCACCTCAGTCTGGTTGATTGTGTTACTTAGTTGCAACCTATTTTGTCTCTTGGGCCTTTTTTGGGATACGCTGTTCATGTATTTATCGCTTGAATTCCAGGTGTTCTGCCTACAATACCTTCAGGGAAACCTGTCTGGGGACATCGCTGAGCACAGACAGAGAATGAGAACAATGGCAGACAGAAAAGGAAGGCGGCTTTGACCATGTGTAGATGAAATGATCTGACTGCAGATCATTAAGGAAGGGGCTGCAGGAAAGGATGGGCCAGTGCCAACTGCTTGTTTTCTGCTCCATGGCAATGTGAGTTGTATGACATTTACATCTTAATAGGCCCCTTTGGCCACCAACTAACAAAGGCCCAAGGCAGGAAAACAATTCTGTGATGTCTCAACTGACTAGGAGGGCACTGGTTTTAATTTCTGGCTGTTCCTGTTTTCAATGACAGCAACTGCATTTAACTGCCTGTTCTGAACAAAAGAAGAACTGATTAAAATCGTGGAAACAAAAGTAAATGCATCCCCAGCAATGTGGTATTATCTTAATTATGTGTCAGACATCATAAATACCTAGGTTCTAGTGCAGATTCACTAGCAGAAGAGAACTAAAAGGACTGAAGAGTGAAAGGTGCAAAAATGAGGAGGTGCTGCTGGTCAGGTACCATGACATTTCAGGGCTGCTAAAGGAAGCTAATAGAAACAAACCAACCCAGTTTGCTTGTGTCCTGTTACTCCTTGCTGACAGATAAAGAGGGAGTGATTCCAAGTTTGGGGGTTATGAGAATGTTTTTCCAGTCATTTACATTTGTGCTGTAGTAGCTGAGCTCCATTTCCCTCTTCCTACAGGAACATTTGTGAGAAGGGCTTTAAACTAGGTTCGCCAGGGAATGGAGACCAAAGCCCTGAGGTAAGTGAGGAAGTGGGGGACCTGGAGGAAGAGCAAGCAGGAGGGGGCAACAGGGGAAGTGCTCTCATACTTCCTGAGAAATCAGGGCAATCAACTAGTTACTTCAGGTGCTGTACACAAATGCATGGAGCCTGGGAAATAAGTAGGAAGAATCAGAAGTCCTTGCAGTGACAGAACTATAACATGATTAGAATAACAGAGACTTGGTGGGAGCTTGCATGACTGGAGCACTGTCATGGATGGGTACAAACTATTCAGGAAGGACAGGCAGGGGAGTAAAGGAGGAGGAGCTGCACTTCATGTAGAAGAGCCATATATGATTGTTCAGAGCTCCAGCATGAAATTGGCATTAGGCCTGTTGAAAGTCTCTGGGTTAAGGTTAGAGGGGAGAGCAACAAAGGGGATGTTGTGGTGGGTGTCTGCTATAGACCACCAAACCAGGAGGAAGTGGTGGATGAGGCTTTCTTCAAACAGTGGATCTTTCCCAATCACAGGCCTGGGTTCCCATGGGGGACTTCAAACACCCTGACATCTGCTGGGAGGGCAATACAGCAGTGCACAGGCAATCCAGAAAGTTTTTGGAGAGTGTTGGGGACAAGTTCCTGGTGCAAGTGCTGGTGTGGCCGCCTAGGTGCTGTGCTCTTCTTGACCTGCTGCTTAGAAACAGGGATAAATTGGTGGGGAATACTAGTGGATGGCAACTTGGGTAGCAGTGACGACGAGATGATTGAGTTCAGGATCCTGAGGAAAGAAATGATGGAGAGCAGCAGAGTAAGGACCCTGGACTTCAGAAAAGGAGACTTGAGCTTACTCAGGGAACTCAAGGGAAGGATACCTGGGAAGCCAGTCTAAGGGGAAAAGGCGTTCAGGAGAGCTGGCTGTATTTTAAAGAAGCCTTACTGAGAGTGCAGGAACAAACCATCCTGATGCACAGGAAGACTAGCAAGTATGGCGGAAGACCAGCTTGGCTTAGCAGGGAACTCTTCAGTAAACTAAATCACAAAAAGGAAGCATATAGGAAGTGGAAATTTGGACAAATGACTAGGGAGGAGTATACGAGCATTGCTTGGGCATGCAGGGATGAAGTCAGGAAGGTCAAAGCGCAATTGGAATTGCAGCTAGCAAGGGAGATGAGGGGTAACAAGAAGGGTTTGTATAAGTATGTTGGCAGCAAGAGGAGGATCAGGAGAAGTGTGGGTCCCTTACTGAATGGGGGAGGCAGCCTTGTGACAGAGGATGCAGAAAAGGCTGAAGCACTCAATGCCTTTTTTGCCTCCGTCTTCACAGGAAAGGTCAGCTCCCAGACTACTGCACCGGGCAGCACAGTTTAGGGAGGAGGTGAGCAGCCAACAGTAGTGAAGGAACAGGTTAGGGACAATTTAGAAAAGCCGGACATATACCAGTCCATGGCACTGGAAGGGATGCATCTGAGGGTGCTGAGGAGTTGGTTGATGTTATTGCAGAGCCATTGGCCATCATCTTTGATAACTCATGGTGATCAGGAGAGGCCCTGGATGATTGGAAAAGGGCAAACATAGTGCCCATACTTAATAAAAGGATAAAGGAAGATCCACGGAACTAAAGACCAGTCAGCCTCACTTCAGTCCCTGGAAAAATCAAGGAGCAGATCCTCAAGGAATCCATTTGAAAGCACTTGGAGGAAAAGAAGGTGATTAGGAACAGTCAGCATGGATGCACCAGGGGCAAGTGATGCCTGACCAACCTGGTTACCTTCTATGATAAGGTGACTGGCTATGTGGATGCGAGGAAACCAGTGGATGTGGCATAATGTGATTTTAGCAAGGCTTTTGATATGGTCTCCAACAACATTCTTGCAGACAAGCTAAGGCAGTATGGGCTGGATGAATGGACTGTAAGGTGGATAGAAAATTGGCTGGATCATCAGGCTGGGAGGGTAATAATCAATGGCTTAATGTCTAGTTAGCAGCCAGTATCAAGTGGAGTGCCCTAGGGGTTGGTTCTGGGGCCGGTTGTGTTCAGTGTCTTCAACATTAACCTAGAAGATGGTATAGAGTGAACCCTTAGCCAGTTTGCAGATGACACCAAGCTCTGGGGAGTAGTAGATACCAGTTCCTTCTAAGCTGTGTGGCATGCGTGGCTGTGCAGGCATGCCTAGTAGTCCAGCGTGAGCGTGCCAGTGTGGCCGTGCATGTCGCACAGTTTAGAGGGAACACTGGTAGATACACTGAAGGGCAGGTCTAGGATTCAGAGTGACCAAGGCAAATTGGAGGATTGAGCCGAAAAAATCTCATGAGGTTCAATAAGAACACGTGCAAAGTCCTGCACTTAGGACGGAACAATCCCATGTACCAGTAAAGGCTGGGGGCTGACTGGCTGGGTAGCAGCTCTGCGGAAAAGGACCTGGGGGTTACAGTGGACAATAAGCTGAATATTAGCCAGCAGTGTTCCCTTGTTGCAAAGAAGGCTAACGGCATACTGGGCTGCATTGGTAGGTGTGTTGCCAGCAGGTCAAGGGAAGTGATTATTCCCCTCTAGCCAGCACTGGTAAGGCCACATCTAGAGTACTGTGTTCAGTTTTGGGCCCTCCACTACAGAAAGGATGCGGACAAATTAGTGTCCAGTGGAGGGCAACAAAAATGGTGAAGGGGCACATGACTTATGAGGACAGGCTGAGGGAACTGGGCTTATTTAGTCTAGAGAAGAGAAGACTGAGAGGGTATTTAATAACAGCTTTCAACTACCTGAAGTGGGGCTCAAAAGAGGGTGGAGCTAGACTGGTGGCAGATGAGAGAACAAGGAGTAATGGTCTCAAGTTGCAGCAAGGGAACTTTAGGTTCAATATTGGGAAGAATTTTCTCACTACAATGATAGTAAAGTACTGGAACAGGTTATCCAGAGAAGTTTTGGAAACTCCATTCTTGGAGGTTTTTAAGACCCAGCTAGACAAAGCTTTGGCTGGAATGATCTAATTCAAGATGGTCCTGCCTTGAGCAGGGGGTTGGTCTAGGTGACCTCCTGAGGTCCCTTCCAACCCTCATTTTCTATGATTTTAGGACTCTTTGGAAGTCTTGTTGGCAGCCTCACAAAGAGTGAATCCTCAGGTTTTGATTCAGCCACATATATAAGCATGAGTCTTAATTTTAATTATGTAAGCTTTCTCCTCCTTCAACACAATGTCTAAAGTTTGACAGGTGCTATGGACGTTTCTGAATAGAAGTCCAAAAAGGAAGGGTACACAGGGTGCATCTACATGTTCATTAATGTGCCCATAGTTACTGCACATTAAATTTAGTACTTGTATAACAAAGTACTAAATCAATGCGCAGTAACTGGTGCTACTGTCCAGTAGTGCCAGTGCATGGCTTTGTAGTGACACTAACTGCACAGTAGCCTAATACTACTGCACATTAGCATATTAGCATGGTTTTTTGCCATGCACGCTAATGCACAGTGAAATTCGGCTGCTGAGCAGTTAGCATTTTGCGTAGATGCATCCATAGAGACTTAAAAAGAAGCTAAGATCCCAGGGGAAAAAATAGTCTTTGGACAACATTTACAGAGTTGAGTGGCTAAAATCTGGCACCTAAATAGAGGTGGCCTTATCTTAAGAGATGTGAGGCATCTGCAGCTCTGGCTGAAGTGCATCAAAGAAGGTGAGGTGAGCCTCCCCTATCCAGTAGGCATGTATTACTTCTCAATGGGGACTGATAATGTTTACATAAGTAAATGCTTAGCTCCAGTATTAAAGTGGTCTTTGTGCTTGTATCAGGTGTCCACAAAAAAGGCGTGCCATGTCTGATCTCCTTGAGACTTTAAAACAGCCAGTGCTACAGAACTTGATGCTAAGTTGGTAACAACTAAACTTAATGGTGTGGAGGGGGCAATTCTTAGCCCAAAAAGATGCGTGTCTATTTACCTTATAAAGAGCAGACATTGAGGCAGATCCCACAACAAGTGCTATTCCAATAACTGAATGACTGTGGAATCCATCCGCATAAGTCATCATGACTATCCCTGCGATAGCAAATATAGCAGCCACAATCTGGATGGAAACAAAAATAGTAAGTGTTATTTAACAACCCTAGATGGTCAAAATATTAAAAAGCCATTTTAAATGACATTTTAACATATTTATATCATCTGCTTCATCCTTATCTACTATACCAGAGGTGGGCAACCTGCAGCATGCATGCTGTAAATGGCATGAGCAGTCCCTGGCACTCAGCTAAGGAGGTACTGGAATGGAGGCAGGGGGGCTCAAGCCAAATTAAGCCAAAATAAATTTAGTGCACATAAACCAAGTTCAAAATGGCTGAAACTGGTTTAAGATAGACCTGGTTGAATGTAGTATCAGACTTAACTGATTTGGGTCAAACTGGTTTATGCAATGTCTGTCCCAGACCTTTTCCTGGTTTAAGTTAAACCAGAGTCCCCCAGAATCCCAGGTGCTTTGCAGCCTTGGGCTGGGCTCTCTGCTCCAGAGAACAGGGCTGGCCCCACCACTCTGCTCCCTAGCTGGAGCTCTGGAGGCACAGCAGTGTCTGCCTGGCTTCTCTCTGCCCAACCCCCCTCACTGCTTGCTGCTCAAGCCCCTCCCTCCCTCTCTCCCATCTCCCACAGCACAGACCCCAGCCCCATGGACTCTAGACATGTGGTGTGCTAGCTAATGCTGAGAGGTGTCTGTGTCTCCAATTACACTGGGACAGGCAGACAGAACAGTGTCTGCTTATGGCTTTTAGGAGCTAATCAACAGGTCAGCTGGTAATGTCCCTCCATTCCTTCCTTGGAAAAAACTGTTTAAGAAGAGCTTGAACTAATGCAAGAGGCTTTTGTTTTGTTGATGGGCTGATAAATGCTGTGTTATCAGTCCCCTGCTGGCTCCCTCACCCATCAGGTTTGCAGACAGTTTGAAGAAGCAGGGAGAGGGAGATTGAAAAGCTCAGTATCAACAACAGATGCATGCAGTGCACCCTGTCTTTGCCTCAGAGTGCTAGCCAGGGGCTGGGGTCTAGCAACACTCCCGCCTCTTGAGCAGTGAGAGGGGAAAAGCCTGGGACAGTGCAGGCAGGGTGGGGTTTTATACCACTCCCAAATCAAAGTGTCCTGCTGGAGCCTGGCCACGCCACCCTTCAGCTCAGCACTTTGTAAGGGAAGGAAGGGCTGCTCTAGTGCCCCCCAGCTTCTAGCTTGAGCCACTGCAGGAATGTGCCTGCATTTCTTCAGTCCAGAGGGGATGTCTGTGCAGTTGCAAATGGATTCGATCTAGGCAGGTTAAACTAACCTGCAAAGATTGACTCAATTCAGGCTCAGGCTTTTTGAATGTCTGTCCCTAGTCTGAAGGGTTAACTTGGCTCTTAGAAGTGACACCTCCATTCTCCATCCACTCCTCTCTGTGTATCCAGAGCCTTGAGCACCCACTTCCATTCTGGCAACCTAGGGCACAAACTCTATCAGGTACACCTCTAGGGTGAGGATGAGAGTAGCACTTGGAATGGGAAGCTGCAAGCACAGTGACAAAGCGACTACATCTGATCTCAGTATAGCTGGCAAGGGGAAGAGCTGTTTTTCAGAGCATCAGCGTCTTGATAATCTGAAAAGGGAATTTCATGTCTGACACAAAGTCTCTGAGTGAGACGGCCACTGCAGGATTCATTTGACAGTAATACTAAGGTAATTCCTAGGAATTCCCTAATGCCTGCAAAAATGGATTTGAATTCAGAGGAGATAGCAGGGAAAATAAACTTGTTGGAAAAAATAGAAAAATAAGGTAGATTTAAGAATGTTGCAGGTCAGCCAGTCAAAGTCTTCAGCTGTAAATAGGGATCTAAAATTTATTACTCAAGCAAATGCTGATATTTTGAGTAGGATTTTCAGATGGGCCCAAGGCCTTCAACTTCATTGAATCCAATGACTTCCCTCATTCATACGTGAATTTCAGTGGGAGTCAGTTGCCTAAATGCAGCTGAAGAACTCAGCCTAAGTGACTTAGATGTACAAATCCAGCCATCTCTCAGTACCACTCGTGCTCCTATGTCACTTAGAGAGGTTGAAAATTTCAACCTGTGAATGTTGGATATACTTCAGTCAATTTGGAGGAGGGGCTACTTATCTGAGAAAACTGGCTGCGTGTACCATGGATGTGATGTTGTGGTGAGAGGTAGGCAGAGAAGAATGAGTTGGGCAGGATGGTTTCCTGCTTCTTAGAAGCATCACAGTTATAATGCACCTTCCTCTTGGAAGGGATTGAGCATGGTGTTTTGGCCAGCCCAGAAATTGGAAGTAAAAGGACAAAAAAAGAGTTAAAACCAACATCAGAAACTCCTGGAGAGTTTGCTAGTTTCTCTTTACCAAGACTTTAGGCCTGTCTTCTAAACATATTGGTTCAACAAATAAGAGAGGACTGTACATCATACATGCTTCATTCCATGCTTCAGGAAGAAAGGGAGTTTTAATAGGCTGGACAGGTAAAGGGAATGCCTCTGTTCATTATGAGACCAGAAGCTACGTGCAGTCATACAAGAAGCTGGACCAGCTGCCTTGAGAATAAATTTCACTGTCTATACAACAGACACAGCCTGACCTATGGCAGTGTCGTTCTCCACATGCTGCTTTGCCAATATGCCTTGTGTTTAGGGAAATGTGTCTCCTGGGTAAGAGGGGTCAGGGTCCAGGCTTATTCCACCCTGTCTCTCTAATGATGCTCCCAGTAGTTAGGGCCACTAGTGGTTATGGGGAGACACACTTGTGTAAACCTTTATCCAAACTTTATATTCCTTGCTATCATACTCTACAAAGATAGCAATGAATAACCCATCTTATTTGGACCATAGCTAGATGATGTGTATCTTATAATCAGGATACAAAACTTCCAAGTAGATGAATCATCAGTCTGTTCCAGAATCCAAAAAAGCCGTCCCCATAAAGAATATAAGAAAATTTAGACTATAACAGAGACCTGAAAAGTTTAAATACTAAAGTCCAGATTTTATTTTATCTATTAGGCATCTAAGTGGACTTAGGTTCCATCACATTATTCTATTCCATTCTGTTTATAAGTCCCAGAAAATCCATTAATGCATTGACTTTTTTAACACACTACCATTTTAGCCTTAAGACTGGCTGTGTCTACACATGCATTTACACCGGCTTAAATTTACTGCACAGTAAGCAGGAATAGGCTGATGTCTACACATGCAGGTGTTAAAGCTAGTCCCAAGTCAGTCCACACACACAGTTACTTAACAGTAAGGTGTCTACACGTGCATTATTGTGCAATGACTAATCAGGCCTAAATTTGATACCTGCATGATGCAAGTATCAAATTTATGCTAAAGTTGGCGTAAGTTGCCATGTTTACTAAGCAGTATGGGCATGCATGTGTAGACATGCACCAGTACTGTGCAGTATATGTGTATATGTAGACACACCCACTGAGTCTCAGAAAAACAGTAAGGAGGAAGAGGTTTCACCTATACCTTGCATTAATTGTTTTCTAGGACTTGAGCAGGGTGGAATACGATTGTAGTTTGGTGCCTAAGTCCATTTATGTGCCTAACAGGTGAATTAGAACCTGGCCCCAGATGATCTTACATATCACATGTGGTGTGCATCTTATAGGCTTGTGCCCAATTTTAAAATTCCAGTCTCAAGTTCAACCAGCAAAAATGTGCATTCAAAGTCAAGAGGCAGTCAGACAGGTTCTGCACATGGTTATCTCGCTAGTTCTCTTAATAGGAAAATGTACAATTTTTGCAAATGCAAAGCCGACTTCCAAAATGTATTTCTTTAGCATCCAGGTTTAGTAGGAACAACAAAAGACAGAATCAGGCGTGTTTTATCTACTCTCTAAAGCAGGGGTGTTAAAGATACACCTCACAGGCTGGATCTGGCCCCAGAGCCATTTCATATGACCTTGAGGGCTCTTGTGGGGCCAGGAATTCAGGGGAGGGATAGGGCCTGTCACCAAATTCCAGGATACAGAGCCCCACAAGGGACTTGTTTCAGCAGCAGTGGGTGACCGATGGCTTCATAAACCTCTGCAGTTCTCTGAACTGACAACAGTGCTGCCATTGCCACATGCTCTGCTGCTGGAGGTAGATCTGGAGCCAGCCTGGTGGGGAGGCAAACAAGTTTGAGCCCCGTGGCTTAAAGAATGGAGCATGTAACTAAACCTGTTTGCTTTCCGGACGGACTAAAAAAAAAAAAGGAAAACCTTATTTTGGGTCAAATCCACCATTTATTGTAATTCCAGGATCATTGTGGCTAGTTCACTTCACTACTACCATTTGCTGTTTAAGCTTTTTTCAAAACACATTTTTTAGTAGCTAATAATTGAGGTAAATTTGAAAACAAAATATCAATTCAAATAAAAAACTTGAAAGCTTTCATTCAGATTACAGGGAAACAGGTTTATCTTCCTTAGCCTTTTTTCAGGGTTTTTTTTTCCTTTTCATCAAAATAATTTGTTAAAATTGACAAAAATGTCCCAAATGAGTTAATCAACCTGAAATGGCATTTACCAGGAGGAGAGAAAATACTCTGTGCAGCTGTGTTTCAGATGCTATTTTGATCAAAGTAAAAGCAAAATTCCCAAATGTTCAATATTAAAAAAACCCTGATGTGAAGGGATTTGATCCTACAAGCTGTTGACCACCTGTGCAAGCTTCCTCTGAGCACAAGAGGAATGAGGGAAGCTCTGCACTCTGTGCTGCAGGATTGAGTCCAAAGTGCATACGGTTCTAAGGTCACAGGCATCTTTCGGCCTGAAGGCTACCAACAAGATTTACAAACTAGCTCAAGGTGCAAAGCTGAAGGCTGTATCCACACTTTGCCAGCCTTGGAGGATGCTCAGATATGGGATTTTTTTTACTTGTTTTCCTCCTCTGCATAATACATAATACTAGACTTATTTTGTTCACAACTGAAAAGCACCTACATGTGAAAATGCAATAACAGTGCAGAACAATGCCAGACAATTTTATGTTAGGCAGGAAGGAACACACATTCTGTTCAGCTGGCAATTTGGCAATGCTAGCAGGGCTA